CAAGGACCCTACCTTTTCTAGGGATTTTTATAGAGCAAAACCAGGAGGTGAGGTCTAAGGTGGAAAACATGGAAAGTCACACATGAGATGGGATGAAACTATGGTCAACCAATAAGACTACAAGCAGTTATAGTTGCTTTGGTAAAACTGATTAAATCCAGGACCAAATGAGGAAGGGAGTCATGTAGCAAGTGGACATGAATACAGAACAGGGGCTTATCCTGTAGGGGTTGGGTTAGTGACTTTTCCAGGCTTCTTCAAGATGACTGATACCTATTTAGAGTATCAATCCTTATGCCCATCCCTAGGGAAGTATGTGGCTGTATTTGTTTACTCTGGTCCATAGTGGGAGTGTCTGTTCCAAAGTTGCAAGGTCTCAACTTTTCAATATGGGTCAAAATTTAAAATACACATGTCCTTTGAAGCCAAGATCTAACATTCAAAAATCTATTCTTAAAACAATTATCAGGTAATATGTAAAGCTTTTCATAAACATAAGAGGGGCTGGGGAGATGGCTCAGTAGAATAAGTGCTTCCCTGGCAAGTGCAAGGTCTCAGTTCAGTCCCCGGTTCTGCCAAAAACAAACAAACAAACGTAATAAGGGTTAGTTTTGTTGTACCATGGGCGGCCTGGGTGCACCTCGACAGCAATTGAGAGTGGGTGTGGTGGCACGGGCTTGGGAGGCTAAAAACAGGGGGATTACTACAAGTCTATCTGTATAGTAGACCCTGTACTAAATACATTAAAAAAAAAAAAAAAAAAGATTAGTCATTTATTCTTTGAAGGCTGTAAGGGATTTTTTAAAAATTGCCAGTTGTGTAAAGTATAACAGATTTACAGTCGTAACCATTTCTAGGTGTATGGTTCAGTAATGTTAAGTACTTCTATATTGTACATGGGGTCTCCAGAATTCTGCATATTATAAAACTGAAACTATTCATGAGACAGCCCTTCTTCCACCTTTCTCCTCCGCCTCAGACAACTACTTTTTTTTTTTTTTTTTTATAGCTATGATTTTGACAGCGCTACCTCATATAAGTGGAATCATATAGTATTCCTCATTGTGACTGGCTTATTTCACTGAGCAAAGTATCCTCATGGCTCATTCATGTTGTAGCATGTGTCAGAATTTCCTTTTTTAAAAACTAGTTTCAAAAACACTGTTTTAGACAAGTTTCAAGTTTATGGCAAAATTGAGTGGAAGGTAGAGATTTCTCAATAACCTCTATTCTCTTATACACATATTGCCTTCCCCAACATCAATATCCTACAGCAAAGAGGTATACTTGTTCTAATAGGTAAGTCCACATTTACATTATTCTCATATAAAGGCTGTAGTTTACAGCCTTTGGCTATATTGTTGCTGTTGTATATTCTGTGTATTTGAACAAATGTACAATGCCACATATCCACCATTATAATATTGCACCCAGTATTTCACTGCCCTGAAAAGTCCTCTGTGCTACCTATTTATCCCTCTCCTCAAATCTATAAATCGTTGATGCTTTCACTGTCTCCATAGTTTTGCCTTTTCTAAGTCATAGTTGAAATCATACAGTATGTAATGTTTTCAGATTTGCCTTCTTTTACCTAGTAATTCATTCAGAAGTTTCTTTTATATTTTTTCATGGCTTTATAAGTAGGTCATTTCTTTTAGGTCTGAGTAATAGTTCTTTTTTTTGGCAGTACTAGGGATTGAACTGATGACCTTGAACTTACCAGGCAAGCACTTATTCTACTGACCTATCTCCCCAGCCCCTGAGTAATATTTCATTCTCTGAATAAAAAACATTTTCGTGTCAGTCCACTTATTGGAAGACATCTTGGTTGCTTACAAGTTTTAGTAATTGTGACTAAAGATCTAAAAACATCAGTGTGTACATTTTGTATAGACTAAAAATTTTAAATTCTCAGGGGCTGGGGATATAGTTCGGTGGCATAAGCACCTGTGTGGCACTTACAGCGTCCCAAGTTTGATCCTGGGTACCAAAAATAAAAAATAAAAAATAAAAATATTAAGTTCTCTGGGTAGATACCACTGTAATTCAAGATTGTATATTAAGAGTTTAGTTTTTAAGACATTTTCAAATTATTTTGGAAAATGACTGTGTAATGCGTAAGAGTATCTATTATACATTTGTGATAACGTGCTGTTGCCAGTGCTTTTTTGTATATTCACCTTGTTTGAGTCTTACCTATTCTTATAGGGTATAGCGGTTGTTTTTTTTTTAAGGAAGGAAAGGTTTATTTAGCTCACAATTACTGGAGGTTTCAGTCAATACTCAGCTGGCTCCAAGGCAGAGCGGCACATGATAGAGGGCAACCTTTCATGGCAGTGGCAAAGAGCAAGAGCACACAAAAGGAGTAGCAGCAGCTCAAGCAGCTAACTTCTATTCCCTCTTTACATTGAAATGTGAATTACCTGCCCCAGGGCAGTGCAGCATCCACACTCACAATAATCAGTCACAAACTCCAGAAGCCATCCTAAGACTGCATGAAGCTTTGGGGGAACAACTATAACATTCCACCCCTGAACCCCCAAAGACTCATGCTCATCCATTTATGCAAAAGCCATTCTAGTCCATCTCTAAGAATTGCCAAAGTCTCAACAGTTTGAGCATTGCTGAAAGGTCCAAGTCCCAAGTCTCCTCCAAGATCCAAGGCAAACTCTCCACCGTGAGCCCCTGTACAAATGGAAACACTTGCAGCATTCAAAGGCACAAGATAAACATTACCATTCCAAAAGGTACACTTAGCAGGATACCAAGCGTTGGGACCAATACAAGTCCAAAATCCAGCAGTGCAAACATTAAGTCCCTGCAGTTCCATATGGGACATTGAAGCAGTCTTTGCTGAGTTGTGAGCTCCAAAGTCCTTACGTGGCTTCACTCCTACAGCACTCATGGTGGTAGCTCCCATGGCATCGCTCTTAGGCTGGCTTTGCTCCCCCCTTGCAGTTTCCCTTAGATGATCCACGTTTTTGGCTTTTCCAAACTTCTGGCGTTTCAACTGAATAGGCTTCTTACTCACAGCTTCACACATTGCTCTCTCGGGCACACTGCCTGGCCTTCCAGGCCTTCTTCTGAAATCAAGGTAGAAGCCTTCTTAACCTCAGAACTCCTGCATTCTGAATGCGCCTAAAACCAATACCACATGGATGACGTCAAGGTCTGCTGCCAGCTGGAGCAGTAGCCAGGCTTACTTCTCTCTTGGCTATAGGGGTCGAGTGCCTGGATTGCTGAGCATCTGACCCTGATTCCTGGGAACAAATTCTCCATGCTGGCCGTGGTTCAAGAACCTGGTGTGGGCACTGTCGCCATTCTGGAACATGATGCTCTGCAGCTTTCCCCTCAAGGCAAAGTCCCTGACCTTTGCAGTTCACAGGCTGGAAAGAGTGGAAACCTGCCGCCTCTGGTGATGCCCTCAGGCCATCCTTTCCATTCTCTTATTCTTTCCTGGCAGTGGAGATCTCTCAGCTCCATCTTTGCAGTCCACAGCTTTCTTGGAGCTTCCTTTCTGGCCAAACTCACATTTTGAACCATCCTGCTGGGCTGCTTGCTCTTCACTCTCAACATAAATCTGGCTAAAAGGCCCCAGTAACAACCAGGCCACTGCCCCAATATTCAGCTGCTTTAAAATATCTTTTGCCAGATTGATCAGTCTACCATGCTTAAACTCAGTCTCAGGCCAAGTCTCTGGACACAAGCAAAATGCAGACAACTTTTCTGCCAATTCAAAACACAAATGATCTGGAGTCTAACAACCAATGCAGCTCTTCTTCCCAGCAGAAACCTCCCCAGCCTGATCTTTACAAGCCAGTTTTCTATCATCCTTCTGGTCTTCTGAGCTCTGGCCAGAATCTCCCAAACAGAACAGCCGAAGCTGTTTCAGTGCTTCGCTTGTAAGCAATATCTCTGAACCTTTCCTATCTCTTTCCATAAGCCAGTCCCAAAAGCTTGTAATCCACATGATTAGGTTGAGCCACAGCAACGACCCCACTCCTGAGGTACCAAATTCTGTCATAGTTGTTCTTCTCTCATTGCTGGGACAAATACCCAACACTGAAAATGAAGGAAGGAAAGGTTTATTTAGCTCACAGTTACTGGAGGTTTCAGTCTATAATCAGCTGGCTCCAGGGCAGAGTACCACACAGCAGAGGGCAACCTTTCATGGTGGTGGCAAAGAGCAAGAGCACACAAAAGCTCTTCCTGTGATTTTGACTTGCAATTCACAATGGCATATGATCAACATTTTTTCATATGTATATTTATGGTTTTTTAAAAATTTATTTTAATTTATTTATTTATATTGTGTGTGTGGCCAGCTCAGTCCACCAGGAGGCGAGGCTGGCTGGCATGTGGTGCTGGGGGATTGAACCACGGTCCCTGTGCTTTGCTTGGCTTCGTTTGTTCTAAGTAGGTGCTTTAGACCACTGAGCCATCTCACCAGCCCTGTATTTATGTTAATCTACCTTCTTTGGTGAGTTATCTCCTCAGGTCTTTTTTTTTTTCCTACTCAGGTCTTTTGCCACATTTAAATTGTGTTGGTCATTTTCTTATTGTTGAATTTTAAAAATTCTTTATTTTGGTGGAACCGGGGATTGTACTCAGGCCCTTGCGCTTGCCAGGCAAGTTTATTTTGGATAAATCTTTTACCAGGTATTTCTTTTTGCTAATCCCCCCACCCCCACCCCACCCCCAGTCTATGGGCTTGCCTCATTCTCTTTTTTTAAATTTTTTTTTTTTTTTTAATTTCAGGGAAGGGTCTACAGGGTGTTCAGAGTCTCACTACTAGATTGGACTTTTAGTGATCTGCCTGTTTATAGCCTCCCAGGAGCTGGAATTATAGGTGGGCCACCACATCCGGTCTCAAGTGCCATCTCAGCACACCCGGCCCAGGAATCAAACGCCCTGGCCCCTGCACCTGCTTGCAGGCGCTTTAATCTGCTGAGCTATTTTGCTGGCCCTTGCCTCATTCTCTTGACAGTATCTTTCACAGAGCAAAGGTCTTTATTTTCATGAATTTGCATGTCATCCTTGCATAGGGGCCATACTAATCTCTGTATCATTCTGATTTTAGTATATGTGCTGCGAAGTGAGCACCAAAGGTCTTTATTTTAGTCAAGTCCAGCATATTAGTTTTTTCTTTTATGGATCTTGACTTTGGCATGTGTTTAAAAAGTAATTGCTATATCCAAGGTTATCTAGATTTTTCTCCCGTGTTATCTCCTAGGATTTTTATTGTTTTGAATATTAATTTAGTTGTATCATTCATTTTGAGTTTGTTTTTGTGAAAAATGTGATCAGGCATGTGCCTGTATAGTCTTAGCTACTGAGAGGCTAAGATAGGAGGATCACTTAAGCCTAGGAGTTCAAGGCTAGCTGGCAGAAAATACCATGATTGCATACCCCCAAAAAGAATGTCTGTGTATTAGCTTTTTCCTGTGCTGGGCCAAAATATTCAACACCTGAAAATTGAGAGATTTATTTGACTTACAATTTTAGTCTATAGTCAGCTGACTCAAAGGCAGAGATAACATCTTGGAAGGCATTAAGTAGCAGAAGAAAGCTACTTAATCCATCAAAGCCAGAAAAGAGACAGACAGAGGAGGGGTGGGTGGGGTGAGAGGGGCAGAAAGGGGAGAGGTGGAGAGAGGAGTGTAAGATCCATTTTAAACATTTACTCTTCCGTGATGCATCTCTAATCTAGCCTACTAAGAACTCAGCATTCCCATGATCCAGTCATTTTCCTAAACTCCTGCCCTCTAAATACATAATGAGACTTTGGGTATACATTTTATTTTTTTTTAAATAAATAAATTTATTTATTTATTTATTTATTTATTTGTGAGTGTGTGTGTGGGCCAGCTCAGCCCACCAGGGGGCGGGGCTGGCTGGCATGTGGTGCTGGGGGATTGAACTGTGGTCCCTGTGCTTTGCTAAGCTTGTTCTTAGTAGGTGCTTTAGACCACTGAGCCATCTCTCCAGCCCCCTGGATATACATTTTAGAGCTAAACCATAATGGTATGTCTAGATTAATTTTTTAAAAATTTATGGATATACATTCATTCTAGCACACATTTTATTTTTTATTTATTGGGGGGGGGGCTGAAGATGCATTGAGGGCATTTCTGGTTTCCTGTGAGAAACTGGGTTCGAACCAAAGCATCTTGAGCCTGACTGCTTTGTTTAAGCAGGCACTTAAACAACTGAGCTAATGGGCAGGGCACCCCCCCCCCCATTTTTAAAAAGACTATTTGTTGAGCCTTCATGTTGACTTTGTTCTTTTGTCAAAAATCCATTGACCGTATTTACATGGGTCTCTTTGTGGGCTTTTTGTTCTGTTATATTGACTTAGTTATTTTGTCGTTACCATACTGTCTCAATTACTGTAGGTTTATATAGTATGTCTTGAAATCAGGTAGTGTCGGTCCTCTTAGGCTGTTCCCTTGGCTATTCTGAATTTGTTCCCTTTCCTCAAACACTTTACTATCAATGCGTTGATATTCACAAGATAACTTCATTGAGATTTTCATTGGAATCATGTTGAATCTAGAGATAAACTGACATGTTGTGCCACAAAAAAAAAACCCTGACATGTTGACAGTATTTTATAAAGTCTTCTTATCCACAAACATAAAATATTTAGTTCTTTGATTTTGTAGAAGTGTCTTATAATTTACCTCATGGGCTATTTTCATATTTTGGGATGGGCGGGGGATGTGGCTCAGTGGTAGTGCTCTTGCCTTGCATGCACAAGACACTGGGTTTGATCCCCAGCAGCACCACCAAAAAAAAAAAAAAAAAGAATATTTTGTGAGATTTATACCTTAATATTTCACTTTTCAGGGTTGCTGTTGAAAATGTTATATTTTGATTTTGGTTTTTGTGTGTGTATGTGTGTATTTTAGGGAAGGGTCTACAGCATGTTCAGGGTCTCACTACTAGATTGGACTTATAGTGATCCACCTATTCACAGCCTCCCAAGAGCTGGGATTACAGGTGCACACCACCATGCCCAGTCTCAATTGCCGTCTCAGCACACCCTGGGGGCTGCTAGGCTGGCACAGCAGGCCCCGGGGATTGAACCCCTGGCCTCTGTACCTGCTTGCAGGCATATATTTTGATTTTAAACTCTACTCACCACAGGACATTAACTTTTGTATATTAACCTTGTGTCCTGCAACTTTGCTATAATTGCTTTTGGCTCTAGGACTTTGTTAATTGTTATAGATTTTTTATGTAGTTACTCATGCCATCCATTAACAAAGATGATGCTATTTTTTCCTTCCAAATCAGGATGCCCTTTGTTTCTTTTTCTTATCTTACTGAATAGCTAGGACTTCAGTTCACTGGTGGAAAGAAGTGAGAATAAAGATCTTTGTCTTGTTCCCAATTTTAGTGGGAAAAAGCTTCTCACCATTAAGTATAATGTTAAGGATAGGTCTTTTGTAGATGTTCTTTGTCAAGTTAAAGACATTCCCTTTTATTCCTAATTTGCATTTTTTTCCTTTTTAAGGCTGAATAATAATGTGGTATATATGTACTACATTTTGTTTCCCATTCACCCATTGATGGACGCTTGGGTAGCTTCCACCTTTTGGCTATTGTGAATAATGCTGCTATGAACATGAGTTTACAAATATCTCTTTGAGATCCTGCTTTCAATTCTTCTGGGTAAGTACCAGAAGTGTAATTGATAGATCATACGGTAGTTCTATTTTAAATTTTTTGAGGAATCAGTATACAAAACTTTATATACAAGGATGTTCACTGCACTGTTTTTAACAGCATATTGGAAGCAGCCTTCATCAGTAGGTGATTGGATACGTAAATCATGGTATATCCATACAATCAGTTTTCTTTAGCTATTTAAAAAGGACATGGTAGATATGTATGTTTTAACATGTCAAAAATGTTCCGATGTATTGTAATATGAGAAAGGCAAATAATATGTGTGATATGAAACTATGCTTCATTTCTTTCACAAATAATAAACTTTTAGAGAGGGAAAGGAACAATGTGACAGCAAAATTTTAACTTGCTGCTTTATAATTTACTCCATCATATTAGGATTTGCAAGAAGTGCAGTTTTGTAAGCAGAAAAATTAATTTGAATAATTGTATTTTGGGATAAAAACCTTTAGCTCCCATTTGTCTTTGAGATGCAAAGAAAAGCATGAAATTTATTTATGAACTGTTTTTATCTCCACAATGTAAAATCCTACTCATTGAGATACTTTAAGTATCTTTCATTATTATATTTAAATATCTTTTTGTTGCTATATGTATCAAGGGGATTTATTATTCTGTAACCTGACCAGAGCCAATTTGCATCAAAATGATTTCACAGCATGAAAGTGTTCTATCCTTTTTATGTCATCTCTGAATGATGTTTTCTATTTTCCATGTATGGGTATGGTTAGATAAGTGCTAAAATTGGGGGCTTGTCAAGGTTCCTCCACTGTTGAAGAAAGTGCTTTTTAGTTGAGTATTGTGTTACATTACACACTGAGTCCTCTTTTCTTTTTTTTGTCCTTTGGTAGTGGCTCTTCATGGAGGAACACGGAGTGACCCAAACTGAACACATGGCGACCATAGAAGCCCATGCAGTGGCCCAGCAGGTACAGCAGGTCCATGTTGCCACTTACACAGAGCACAGCATGCTGAGTGCTGACGAAGACTCCCCTTCCTCCCCCGAGGACACCTCCTATGATGATTCAGATATACTCAACTCTACTGCAGCTGATGAGGTGACAGCCCATCTGGCTGCTGCAGGTAATGCTTGGTTTGGAAGTTCTCCTCTTCCTTGTCCTCCCCTCTCCGCCTCTTCCTTCCCTTCCCCTTCCCCCTCTTGCTTCCCATTCCACTTTTGTTGTTGTTATTATTATTATTATTATTATTTTTTGAGAGAGAGAGGGATTTGAACTCTCAGTGATCCCCCAGCCTCAGCCTCCCAAGTGCTGAAGTATTAGACATGTGCCGCCACACTTGGCTGTTTGTCTCTTTAAGCTTCATTTTATGTAGTTCTAATTTATTAACCTTCCTCTTAGCCTCTAAGGTGTTTTAAAGTATGTCCATTTTATTGCCAATTTTGGTAATTGTTAATAGTTTCAGTTAGTGATCTTTTCTTCTTCCTAGATTTAGTGTTTGATTTTTTTTTTTTTTTTTTTGAGTAGGGTGATATTGAAAATGGAACCTAGGGACCTTGTGCACACTGTAGAAGTGCTTTACCCCTGAGCTACAACACAAAGCCCTAGGAATTCTAGTGTGGTTTTATTTTCCTTCAGAAAATACTGTTTAGAATTTCCAGTTGTATAGTGAAAAACTTCAAAAAAATTCTCCATGAGTAGAGTTAACATGATTTTCCAGTTTATCTGGTAACTCCAAGTTTTTTCTTCTTTCTTTTCTTTTTTTCAGTACTGGGGATTGAACCCAGGGACTTTACACTGAGCTATTTTCCCAGTCTTGGGCAGGGTAGAGGGGTAGTTGGGGATTGAACCCAGGGTGCTTTACCCCACCTCCCCCCACCCTTTTTATTTTGAGACAGTTTCTGTCAATTTCCCAGGTAGAGTTAGTCTTGGATTTGCCTTCCTCAGCCTCCCTGAGAGCTGGGATAACAGAGGTGAGCAGCTGTGCCTGGCTTCAGGCCTATTTTAAAATTTAAGGTGAGTTCTTTCTAAGTTGCAGAATTGCCGAGACTGGGCTTGAATTTGCAGTCCTACCTCAGCATCCCAGAATGTTCGGATTATAGGCATGAATCACCATACCCACTGGGTTTGCCTCTTTTGCTAGTGATATTTCTTGTTCATGTTGACTCTTCTTCATTTATTGGTTATATTTAAGTTAATTCTGGACAATGTGCATGAAAAGTTATTTTTAGAAATAATTTTGGGCCTAAAATGTCATTTTCACCTAGAGATGATTTTGTTTGCTCTGACTGATGCCTGCGGGTACTAACAGTCTTAAATCATTGGAACCCAATTCAAAGTTTCAAGATTTTTCTCTTTAATCTTACTTCTCAGAGTTGTTATCCACAGAGCAGTTTCTGGAATGCTCACTAGTGATGGAGTGCTTACCAGCATGTGTGGGGCCCTGGGTTC